CCTCCTCCTCCTCCTCCTCCTCCTCCTCCTCCTCCTCCTCCTCCTCCGCATCCCCAGCCATGCTGCGCCGAGCTTGCCTTCGTGCCTGCAGAGAGGCAGGGCGGTGGTGAAGAGCGCCAATTTCAAAGGGGCGGTGCGCCCCCGAGTCGATGTATGGCCCCACGCCCCACTTCGCGCAATGGGGACTGGGCGTGCACGGGGTGCAACGCTCAGAGCGGGGACGGCTACGATGTTTGTTGGAAGTGTTGGAAGGGGCACGACTGCGCGAAGCTCACGCGCCACGGCACGACCCATGCCCAGGACGACACGGGCGCCGACGATGTCACCAAAGCTAGGCTCAAGACGCAGCGGGGACACCTGGCTGACCTTCGCCGACAAGCAGCGGACCCAGACTTGGCGCCCCACGCCCAGGGCATCATCTCAACTCTACAGAAGGAGGTTGGTGACTGGCAGGCAGCTGTCGAAGCAGGCAGCGATGCACCACGTTGTTTCTCAGAGCGCAAGCTTGCACGAGAGAGGAACAAGACCCAAGGGCAGCGCGATCGCACCAGGGAGCGAGTGGAGAAGCAGGAGCTGGAGATCATGGAGGCCCAGGGGAAGTTAGACAACGACATAGCCCTCCTGGCCAGACAAGAAGAGAAGCCACAGAAGCATAACACCCGCATCGAGGAGCTCAGCGCGCCAACACCAGGGCAAGGCTGGAGCGCAGCGGCCGCCTTCCTGGAGCAGGCCAGCAAGTGCCTGCGCGACAGGGAGGCCGACCCCGAGCTCAGCGAGGCCCTCCGCCACGCCAAACAGCAGCAGGCCGCCGAGGAAGAGCGAGCAGCTGCCGCAGCTGCGGAAACAGCACAGAAGAAGGAGACAGAGGCCACACGGGAAGCCGCCAACTGGAAGCAGAGAGCCAAGCGCCGAGCTGGAGAGAAGCCACGCAGGAGCTGGCGCCCTTCCCCCAGGGGGCGGACGAGACGCTCGCCACAAAGATCATGCAGGGTGCAGGCTGCGCGGGGGGGGGGGGGGGGATTGGGCGCCGCGCGGCTCATCTCATTCCTCTGCTTGCTGGCATGCAGCTTGGCGCCGCGCTCAACATCTGCAAGAGCACTTGGACAGCCCCGCCATCGTCTTCCTGACGAGGAGGGCGGGCAGGGGTTCATTGCCGTCACTGCGAACTCCATCGGCACGCTGGAGCGCACCATGCGCTCGACCAGGTACACGAACAAGTTCCCTGCCATCATAGCGCAGGAGCTGCAGGCCAACGAGCGCAGCATCTCCTGCTTCACACAACGCATACAGAAAGAAGGGTGGAGGCGGGGCACAGCGCCCAGCGCCCGCGCGGCGAGCGGGGGCTGGAGCGCGGGGGCGCTCCTTGCGACCGCCCGCCCGAACAGCATGAGCTACGCCAAGGGCCTCGACACGTGGGACATCTCCCCCCGCGGATCCAAGGGCCGCCTCGCCATCGGCTGGGTCGACGCACACGGCAAGCAGTGCATGACCATCGGCGCGGCTTACCTATGGGTCAGCGAGGGCATGACATGCCGCAGCAGGGCCATCCTGCGGAGCTTCAACGCGGCCGCTATGGCGGCGGGGAAGCACTGGATCCTGGGCGGCGGCTTCAACATGGGCCCAGCCGAGCTGCAGCAGACAAGAGTGATCAACAGGATGGAAGGGACCATCGTGTTCGACACTTCCCGCGGGTCGTGCGTCTCATCGGGCGAGGCGGGGCGCCGCGACTACTTCATCATCTCGAAGTCGCTCATGGACGGCGCGCTGCAGGTAGCCGTGCAGGACCAGTTCAACACAGCGCCGCACTCCCCTGTGCTACTACGTATACTGCGCATTCGGGAACAACGACGGTGGGCACGGGCATTGCGGCATCGACGACGTTGGCCTCGTCGGCTGCCCACGGGCTGTGCAGCAGGGCCGACGGCGTGGCCACGTCTCCTGGAGCGCGAGAGGCACGCCCAGGAGGAGGTGGACAGGTACTGGAGCGACCTGGCCAACACGTACGAGGAGCATCTCAACAAATACTTCAACTACGACGGCCTGGAGTGGCATGAGCGCAAGGGGCACATGCAGGCCCCCACCTACGCATGGGAGCAGATGAAGCCACCTAAAGTGCGCGAGGCAGCGCGAGAACAGCAGTGGGCGGACGCAGCAGAATGGCTAGGGCGCAGACTCGAGCTCATCTGCACCGCGGTCAGAGCATGGGGGCGCAACGGCAAGCAGGAGACGCTGAGCTGGGCGCAATGCAACGCTAAGGGCATTCTCGAGCAAGACATCATTGAGCCGCTCCTAGAGCGGCGCCACCCAGCATGGAGCGGCGAGGCCGACCAGGAGGGCGCCGCGGAGGGGCACGTCAACGTGGGCAACATCGACGGCGACGTCGACACCGACACGGAGGGCGAGCACGACAGCGTCGGCACCGAGGACAACGCCGACGACCTGGACGAGATCAACGAAGCAGCACGCCGAGTCGAGGAGGACGGGCTGAGCCTCCCAGAGTTCACTCCTCGGCACCCCGCTGCCCCCGGCCCTGGGGCCTCGCAGGACTGCCCGTTGGTCGGGGCGGAAGCCGCAGGAGAGCGCCGCCCACCGACGGGGCGGGGGCACTGGGCGGACATCGATTGGGGCAAGTTGGTGAACACCATCGCCTGGATCGACACCACGAACATCACCGAGCGGGGCTTGCTATACGTGGAGTGCGTGGCCAAGCCCATGACGGTCGCAAGCCAGCACACGCGGAGGCGAGTGCGACGCAAAGCAGCAAGAGGTTGGAGGCGATGGGTGGCCAAGCACAGCCAGGCGGGAGCAGGTGCGCTACGCAAGTGGACCATGCCGCCAGTGCCATGGGAGCCCATCAAGCCGACCGGGAACTACAGCCAGCAGGAGCTCACGCATCCGCAGGTGGCAGCAGACGCAGCGCCGGAGGGCTGGGAGACGGCATGGGCGGCATGGGCAGGTTTCTACGACGACAGCGCACCATGGTGCCGGCCCCCCAGCGACGACGAATGGGGGGAGTATGCAGCCCCACGAATCACACCGAGGGGCGTCATCGAGGCGCGCGGGCGCTTCCGCGCCAAGACTGGCCTTGGAGAAGCGGACTGGCACCCGCGCCTCTGGCGCCATGGTGGGTTCCAGGGAGCGGCGCGCGTGGCAAGCGTGCTTGGCGCGGTGGAGCGGGGGGCGCCGTGGCCCACGACAGAGGCCACCATGCTCTTCTACCTGACACCGAGGGCAGCAGGGGGCTTCCGCAACCTGGGCCTCATGCCCGAGCTGGCGCGCGCGTGGGAGACCATCCGCGTGCCGTGCGCCAGGCGCTGGGAGGCGGCCAACCAGAGAGCCTACGACTGGGCTCGACGCGGGAGATCATCGGAGCGCGCGGCGTGGCTGCAGGCCCTCTACGGGGAGGCCGCGCGCGCCGAAGGACACGAGTATGCAATGACCTACTTCGGCCTAGTCAAGTGCTTCGAGTGGGTCACGCATCGCAAGGTATGGGGGGGGGGGCATCGCAGCGCTGGGGATTCAACCCAGTCATCATGCACACTGTACTCAAGATATACGGCATGGTGAGGCGCATCGTCTTAGACGGGTGCTACGCCGAGGGCAGGGCGTGGCAGCGCGGCATCGTCGCGGGCAGCAGGTATGCGCCCTTGTGCCTCAAGATGGTGGTCATCCTGAACCTGGGCGAGCTCGTGCACCAGTTCCCGCAGGCGGACACGCGCTTGTTCTTAGACGACCTCGCCAAGGCCACGCACGGCATCAGCGAGTTCGTCCACCACTTCCACCCGCAGCTCGTGGCGGCCGTGGTACACATGTTCGAGGTGAAGCTAGATATGGCAGTCTCGAAGGGCGCGGAAGGGAAGACGGTCACCCTGACATCCTCCACCGCGCTGGGCAAGCGCATCAGCGCGCACGCCAGGCATCTCGGCGCGAGAGTAGTGAAGCACGAGAAGCACCTGGGAGTCACAGGCGCGACATGCAGACGCAGGAGAGCGGCCGCGATCAACAAGCGGGCGCTCAAGTTTGCGGCGAGGAAGGCACTGGTGGCAGCCGTGCGGAGCAGGAGGGGCGGCGCACAAGCTGATCAGGCAAGCCAGCGTGCCGGCGCTCCTCTACGGCTCAAGCATCGTCGGCACGGCGGACTCCAAGCTCAAAGAGTTGAGAAGGAACGTGGCGACGGCGATGGAGAGGAACACCGAAGGCAAGTCCACTGCCCTCACCCTCCTCAGCGACAGGATCGACCCGGGCATCCTGGCCAACAGCGGCCCCACCATTGCCTGGGCCACGGCGTGGCAGGAGGCGCTAGACGACGCGGGGCTGGCCGATCGGCTCCACAGCGCATGGCGCACCTGGGTGATGAAGATCTACAAGTGCAAGGCCCCCTGGCTCACAGTTCGGGGACCAGCGGGAGCGTTCGTGGCGACGGTGAAGCGACTCGGCTGGGTGACACAGGCCGCGCACTCAGTCACAATCGACGGCACAGTGTTCGACCTGCGCTTCACCATGCTGCAGGAGATCCAGCACCACGCCATCCGCACTACGGAGCAGCAGCTGAAGGACGAGTGGGTGGAGCAGTACGGCCGACAGTACGGCATCACCTCCCTCTTCGTCGAGCCAGCTCAAGCACTATACTACGAAGGCCCCTCAAGGGGCGATGGGCGCGGGCACGTCGCACGCGGGTCCATGGCCTCTTCTGCGGGGGCACATGGCGGCAGGCGAGGCTGCACGCTAAGGGGGCGGCACCAGACAGCACGTGCAGAGCGTGCGGGCGGGGCCACGGCACTGACCGACATCGCGCGTTCGCGTGCCCTGCGCGCCAGCAGCACCGCAGTGCGATCGGAGGCCTGCGCATACAGCGGCGAGGTGCCAACCCATGGCCAGGCCCAGGAGCTGAAGTGCTATGGGGACGAGGCATCATGGCGGACCCCGCCGTCGAGCTCAAGCATTGGGACCTGGAGACGTGCGACGGCTGGCCCACCGAAGGCAACTGGGACGGCCTGGCGACGGGGGACATCTACGTAGACGGCTCGTTGCAGTACGGGCACTACCCAGCGCTGCGACGAGGAGGGTGGAGCTTCACCAAGCTCAAAGACAACGACGAGCATGATATGGAGTACGTGTGCTGCGGGCCGCTCCCAGGAGCGCAGTGGACACAGAGTATCCTGCGGGCGGAGCTCTACGCGGTGCTGCAGGCGCTGACGGCGGGTGCACCGCCAATGTGAATCCACGCAGGCTGCCAGAACGTCGTAAACGGAGCGCAGGCTGGAACGACGTGGCTCAACAAGAGAAGCCGCCCGCACCTGGACATCTGGGAGCGGATCTTCCAGGCCATCGCCGAGCACGGCGGCCTGAGCCAGCACGCCATCATGATGTGCAGAGTGAAAGCCCACGCGTCGCGGCCAGAGAGCGCTGCGATAGAGCGAGCGAGGTGGGAAGGAAACAAGTTAGCTGACATATATGCAAAGCAGGGGGCCTTGTATCATACCGACCCCGCCTGGTGCCGTGAAACATACGTAAAGAAATATCAGCTCGTTCGTGATATCCTAGGCAGAGATACTATCGACACTGAGCTGGGATCGAGTCCGACAGATTCGAACCCCCCGTCGGACCCTCTGGACACCCCCCGGGACCCAGGGGCGGTCGTGGGCGAAGGGGGGGGGGGGGGGGGGGGCCCTGGAGGCCCCCGATCCCCCTGCCTCGCCCCTGGCTGCCACTCTCCCGTCTCGGGCCGCTCTGGACTGGGGGAGGGGGGGGGGGGGGATCAGGGTCGATAGAGCACAGAAGGCGGGACGCACACTCGTGAACCGCCAGACCCACATGTTCTGCCGCAGGTGTGCCAGGTACGCCACTGGTGAGAAGTGGACGGGCCTTTTCGCCCCATGTCGCCCTGGGGCCCAAAGGGTGAACGGGGGCAGGCTGAATCGACGGCGGAATGGGTTACACCCCACCACCAACCAGCCCCTTTAGGGGCTCCCTGGAGGTTTTGTACGAGACCTATGTTGCTTCACGTCAGCAATTTGGCCCCTGCTGACTTTTTTCAAAATAATATATTGGGATGAAACGCTGCCGCTGGATATATCGAGCACAGTTGATCACAACACAAACGCTCCTGCGATCCCCGCAAAAATGGCAAGAAATGGTAAGCTCAGATCCGCATGGCTACATTGCAACCGAACCGCTTGACCACCATCTCGACCGAACTGGCGGAATTCGACCACGCGTCCGACAAAATACGTTCGACGAGGGATGCGCTGCACAATGCCCCGGCCACGGGCAGCGCTACGAGGGAAAGCGGGCCCTTCGATGTGTCACTTTCAGCGCCCGTGAAAGTGACACCTCCAGGGCCCACTTAAAGAGCACCAGAAAGGCTCCAAGAAGGCCCCGAGAAGGCCCCAGGGCGGCACCAAGAGGGCTCCCAGAGGGACCCAAGAGAGGCCCCAAGAAGGGCCCAAGAGGGCCCTCCGCGGTGTCACTTTCAACGCCCGTGAAAATGACACCTCCCAGGGCCCACTTAGGGCCTCAGAAAAGCTCTAAGAAGGCCCCGAAAGGGCCATAGAGAGCCGCCCTGGGTTCAACTCCGCGTGGCGGAGTTGGAAGCGATAACTTCAATACCCTGCTGGAGGCCTCTTAGGGGCCCTAAGACGGCACTGAAGAACCCCATCGGGGCTTTTTCAAAGGCAGAGGAGGGCGCAAAAAGGGGCCTCAGTGAGCCCCTGGTCTAACTCCACCTGGCGGAATTGGAAGCGATATCGCCCGGCGCCTTCATGGAGCCGCTCGGAGCTTCCAAGACGGCTCCAGAAGGCCCCAGGAGGGCCCCAAGAGGATCGAACGACGATTCCTGGAAGTGCACCAGTGAGACCCTTGTTGACCTCCGCCTGGCGGAGTTGGAAGCGACAATTTCCAGTGCCCTCTTGGGGCCTCTGGGGGGCCCCTCAGAAAGCTTTGGGGAGCACAGTGAAGGCCTTCGCAGGGCCGCGTGAGAGCCGTACCAGGGCCGCATGTGTGCGCGGATGGGGGCGACGAGTGCTGACGCTGACGAATATGAGAATGATGAGGGCGATCAAGGCTGGCCCGAAACAAATCCTGGCGCCATTGCAGGCCCCCGATTATCGGCCACGCCGCCAGGACGACGCCAAGCAACAAAACGACACCAACCAACAAACCGACACCAACCAACAAACCAACAAATCGACACCGGCCAACAAAAGGACACCAAGCAACAAAACGACACCAAGCAACAAAACGACACCAACCAACGAAACGACACCAAACAACAAAACGGCACGAATCAACAAAACGGCACTGACCAACCAAACGACAAATCACTTCACGACACCAATGAACAACGCGAAATCCACCGACCGCCAACCAAACACAAAATCAACCGACACAACGAAACCAACCCATAGAGCCAGACCAACCACTGGATTCGTGAGTCGGGGTAGTCATGGAAGTGAGCCGCTGCAGCCCGCGGAAGCCATTAACAGTGACCAGAGCACCGCAATGCAGCAACGTCCCCGGGCGGCGGCGGGAGTCGCGGATCTCCCGCGGGACTGGAGCGTAGCGAATTCGTCCTGGGTCCGGTTTAGTGAAGTGAAGAATTTCGGGGTGCTTGCATGGCAAAAACCTTCACTTCACTAATCTGGGGCCCCTGGAGCCCCAGGGCGTTTCAGGTCCCCTCGCTGTCTGGGTAGTCCAGGGGGCGCAGTGGCGGCTTACCAGAGGCCCTGTTCCCTAGCCTCACTTGCTTTCACCCGTGGTGCTCGACGGCCGTCTCGGAGCTGTCTTGTGGCGGTCTGGGGCAATCCCGAAGCCTCTTGGAGCCATCCCAAGGCCCCAAGGCGCCACCAATGGGGGCCCCAAGAGAGCTCCCAGAGGGCCCCGAAAGGCCTACAACAGATTGCACGTTCGCGCGAATTCTTTGTACCACTTTGGGGGGTCCCTCTTGGGGCCCTCGGGGAACGTTCTTGGGGCCCTCCGAAGGCCCACTGGGGCCCCGGGAAGGCCCCAAGAACGCTCCCAGAGGGCCCCAAGAATGCTCCAAGAGGGCCCCAAGAGGACCCCCACAAGTGACAAAAACTATTTGCATGAGGGTGCAACTTACTCGGCGCCTCTTGGGGCGCTCTTGGAGCCGTGCTGGGCGCCACTCGTGGACGACATGGGCTGGGCGACGGCATGTGGACCCTGTCGCTTGGGCCATCGGGGGTGCTCCCCAATGGGGCCACGAAGCTTGTGAGCGTATGACGGAATGGGCTGGGCGGCGGCCTGTGGGCCCTGCCTGTGGGGCCGTCGGTGTAGCTCCCCGTGGGGCCACGAAGCGTGTGAAACGTATGCCGAAATATGCTGGGCGGCGGCCTGGGGAACCTGCCGCTGGGACCTTTTTTTGGTGGAGCTGCCTATAGGGGCACGAAATGTTTGAGGGTGTCATCAATGTGGCCTGGGCGACGGCATGTGGACCTTGCCGCCGGGACCTCCGATGAGCTCCTCATGGGGACACGAAGCGTCTGAGGGGCGTGCCGACATGGGCTGGGCGGCGCACTAAGGACCCTGCCGATGGGGCCTTCGGTGGAGCACCTCACAAGGCCACGAGACTTGCGGGGGATGTGGCGAAGCAGAGACGCGGGGGAACAAGGGGGTGTTTTGATGATGTTGATGAGGATGGTGGTGGTATTGATGATGGAGACGACGAGAATGCTGATGATGCTGATGATGATGGTGATGGCGACGATGACGATGGACGATGACGACGGGGACACGCGGAGAGCAGGGGCAGATACGCGAAGAGGGAGGACGAGGGAGGGGGCCGGAAGGAATGACGCGGGGCGGTGTCTCTTCAAAACGAAGAACCAACACTGCAATATGGTAGGAAATTTCTGGACGACCCCCCCCCGTGGCGCGGTCAATGTCCGCGACAGCATCGCTGGCACTACGAACGAAATGATCGAACTCTTCCTGCGACGTTACCCGCGGGGTGGATCAGCCAGGGATGGGGGTCGAAACCGCCCCAGCGCAAAGCAAATGTACAATCCTGAGAACCCCAGCCCACATCAACCGATCCGCAACAAGCACGCAAGCCTTTGACGACCCCAACGCACGTGACATCGCATAACGCGACGCGCCATCGAAAACGTTCGACGCGCGGCCTCGGAATGACATCGGGCTTCATGGAACGTCGAATGGAAAACATGAAAAACCGCCCTGTGGGCTCCGAGACCCAAAATTACTGATGTGAAGGATTTCGGCTCGTCGATTTTGGCTCGGCTCGGGGTCGGCCCGAAGCGGCCCGAATCTCCCACGGCGCGAAAGCACAGGCCGTGGCGACCCGTTTTGGCCCATAGAATCCTCCTCCTCCTCCTCCTCCTCCTCCTCCTCCCCCTCCTCCTCCTCCTCCTCCTCCTCATCCTCCTCCTCCCCCTCCTCCCCCTCCTCCTCCTCCTCCTCCTCCTCCTCCTCCTCCTCCTCCTCCTCCTCCTCCTCCTCTTCCTCTTCTTCCTCCTGCGCACAACCTGAGGCGCCGCAGAGTCTATGACACCGCGGCCGTCGGTCGGCGTGGCTGAGGGCGCACCTTGCAACCGCCATCAGCCACGCACATCGGACAAGGGCCGCAAGTGGGCCCCGAACAAGCCCAGACAAGCATCCGTCGCGACCCTGGCCTACCGCAAGGGCAGGCCAGGGGAACGGAAACCACCCCCGCGGGGACGAACGGGCAGCCAGAAGGCCCCCAGAGGCCCCCAGGGAGGGGACTCGGGTCCGCGCACCAGCGCGAGCCCCAGTCCAAGGCGCCACCCCGCAAAACACGCCGCGGGGGCCGCCGACCAAAAACACGAGGCGGATCCAGCCAGAGCCACTAGAGCGCCGACGGCCCGCCCCGAGCCTCAGCAGTCTCCGACAGCCCTGTCCTCTCGCCGCCGACGCGGAACAGGCTCACTCCCTGGACGCGGAAGCACTGTCGGAAGCGATGGGAAAGCATGAAGGTGTGCATCAGGTGGGGGTACACGTCCTCGTATTCGAGCTGGCGCACCACGTCCTCCATGCTCGCGCCGACGTCGGCGAGCCCAGCCTCCAGCTCGCCCTCCGCATGATTGGAATTGACCGCCGCGTGGCGATGCGAGAACAGCTTGACGAGGAACTGCTCGGCGTCGAAGCGCGGGCAGGCAATGTCCTCACACACGCGGTCCGCGAGCACGGCCCCTGGGAAACCGCCGTCGTCGCTCTTCACGTGGCACCCCTCGTCGCCGAACATCTGCTCCGAGCCAACCTCGACGACCTCGTCGAACACCGGCTCCGAGCCAGCAGCGTCAACCCTCGGCGCCCCGCACTCAGAGGACACCACGACGGCCTCCAAGGAGGCGGGCCCTCCCACTCGATCATCTCCAGCACCACCACCAACAGGAACGGCTTCAGAGTGAGGCGGCACCATGACGGCGACTCCTTCCTGCTCCTGCTGGTCACTCTCCACGGTCATGTGCACCGCGATGCCCGCCAACTCCCCCGAAACCCCGTCGAAAGACTCACGCTCCGAGCCCACCTCGACACCGACCGCGTCGAACTCCAGCTCCGAGCCCATCTCGACGAAAACCCCACGATCCGCGCAAGCATTGCCCACGAAAGATGCGCCCGAATCGTGGACATCGACCTCCTTACCGCCGAACGCCAGCAACGGGCCAACCTCCACGGAGCCATCGAACCCCAGCACCGAGCCAACCTCGGCGAGATCCGCCACCTCGCCTTTCGCGACGTCGCAGCGGGGCAGGAAGGCGGTGGCCTTCGCCCGCAGCGGCGTGCTCCTGCCTTCCAGCAGGCCTTCCAGCGCGGCGGCCAGCGGGGCGTCGGGCGGGCGCGGCGGGCCAGCAACTGAGGGCGGCGGCGCGTGCCGCGACCAGTTGCCAGCCTCCAGGACCTCCACGTAGTACTTCACCTCCTCCGGTGGCCAGCCCAATAGACGGGCAGCCACGACTGCCTCCCCCATGGAGGGGAAGTGGCAGCCCATGCGGTCGTCAATGGCCCAGTGCTCAACAAGCGCTACGCGCAAGAACTTGAGCCTGTGAGCCAGCGCCCCCGCGCGAGTGCCGCCCAGCGCCGAACGCCTATCCCGGCGGAACCTCCGGGCCAGCGTCCTCGCACTGGCAGCAACCCACACCCGGGCCTCCATCGCTCGCGGCCGCTTGCGCGCCGCGACGCGGGCGTCCGCGGCGCGCACGAAGGCCTCCCGAAGCGCGGCTCGCTTGAGCCAAAATGGTTACGGATTCCTTTTTTTCCTCCTCCTCCTCCTCCTCTTCCTCCTCCTCCTCCTCCTCCTCCTCCTCTTCCTCCTCCTCCTCTTCCTGCTCCTCCTCCTCCTCCTCCTCCTGCTCCTCCGCCCCTCCTCCTCCTCTCATCCTCCTCCTCCTCTCCTCCTCCCTCCGCCTCCGCCTCCTCCCTCTCCTCCTCCGTTCTCCTCCTCCTCCGTTCTCCTCCTCCTCCGTTCTCCTCTCCTCCTCCTCCTCCTCCTCCTCCTCCTCCTCCCCCTCCTCCTCCCTCCTCCTCCTCCTCCTCCCTCCACCTCCTCCTCCTCCTCCTCCTCCTCCTCCTCCCCTCCTCCTCCTCCTCCTCCTCCTCCTCCTCCTCCTCCTCCTACCTCCTCCTCCTCCCTCCTCATCCTTTTTCCTCCTCCTCCTCCTCCTCCTCCTCCTCCTCCTCCTCCTCCTGCTCCTCCTCCTTCTCCTCCTCGTCCTCCTCCTCCTCCTCGTCCTCCTCCTCCTCCTCCTCCTCCTCCTCCTCCTCCCCCTTATTTCTCACTGAACGCCAAGTTTCCTGCTGCGGTTCCTCCTCCCCTTCATCCTCTTCTTCCTGCTGCCCATCCCCTCACCTCCCTCCAATTCCTCCTCTCCTCTTTCCTCTGTCCTCTTTCCTCAGCCTCCCTCAGGCGACGGCCTGAGGCAAGCCCAGTCTGAGGCGGAGTGCGGCCAGCTCCTGCTCCCACCAGGCCTCGGTGAGGCAGCCGACTGGAGAGCAGTAGCAGCAGCAGAAGCTTGGCTGGGTGGGTCCGCGCCCTCCCAAAATATGATTTGCTCCACGTTATTCCTATAACCCTGCCTCTTGCGCGCTGGCCAAGGGCCCACTCGCGAGACCCATGGGCCAAACTTCGAACGCGCGCCACACTCGCGGGTTCTGCGGTGCACTGCCGGGGTGAACTAATCCTGGCCTGGGGGCATCAAGGCCGCGAGATGCGGCGGGGGACTGCGGCGGGCACGGCAGCTTCGATAGGAAACAAACAACAGAGAGAATGGGGGATGGGCATGGCGGGGGGCAGCAGGGGACGGAATGAGGGACGGGGAGCGGACGGAGAACGACCAAATGATAGCTAGTCGAATGAAGGGATAATTTGCGAGCCGTCCGCATGCGCCCGCCATGTTTTCCCCCAGCGGAGGCCACCAAATGTGGAGTGCATGTTATTGCCTATGCCGGGGGTCGCGGGACCGGAAAACCATGCATTACCACGTACCCTCCGGTCGGCGTGGACAAGACTACGCAATTGGCCGAAAAACGCCCAGGAAATCGAAAAAGGAGGTGTTTGGATTCGCCTGCCCCGCGAGCGTAAGGCGCATTAGGTAATCTAGGCATTTCCCGATTAACCAAGGACGACGGAGGAGAGAAGAGGGGAGAGGGAAGACAAGGAACGCATTGGATAAGGGCGAGGGGGTCATGAAAAAGAGGATGGGAGGGGACAATATTTGAAAAAGGAGCGGAACTGGAAAGAATAAGAGAGAAAGAGAGACAGAAACAAACAACAACACATTGAGAGAGTTATACATATATAGAAAGAGAGAGAAGGAGAGAAAGGGAGAGGGAAAGAGAGAGAGAGAGGGAGAAGGAAAGAAGACAGAGAGAGAAGGAGAAGGAGGGCAAAGAGAGACAGAGAGATACTGAGACATGTATATCTATGTGCGCACTGGTGACTTCCCCCCCCCAGACGGCGACGACGACGCAAACGACGAGGACGACGACGACGATGACGACGACGACGCCGACGACGACGACGCCGAGAACGACGACGAAGACTACGACGACGACGACAAGGACGACGTCGCCAACGAAGACGACGACGACGAGGGAGGAGGGAGGACGACGACGGCGACAACGACGCAACGACGAGGGAGGAGGGAGGACGGCGACGACGACGAACGACGAAGAACGAGGGAGGACGGCGACGCCGACGAAGACAACGACGAGGGAGGAGGGAAGACGACGACGACGACGACGACGGCGGACGACGACGACGACGAGGAGGGAGGAGGAAGGACGACCACGGCGACAACGACGACGGAAACGACGGCGACGCCAAAGACGACGACGACGAGGAAAGACAGAGGACAACGACGGCGACGACGACGACGACGAGGGAGGAGGGGGGACGGCGACGGCGACGACGACAACGACGAGGGAGGAGGAAGGACGACCACGGCGACAACGACGACGGAAACGACTGCGACGCCAAAGACGACGACGACGACGAGGAAAGACAGAGGACAACGACGGCGATGACGACGACGACGACGAGGGAGGAGGGAGGACGGCGACGGCGACGACGACGACGACGCAAGAGCGCGAACACACGCTTTTGTTGAACATCCGTGTTGCGAAACCCTGTGTTTCCGTATGTGCTTTGGACACTCAATTTTGAAATATTTTCACACCAATGGTTGAAAGATGTTCGGCATGCGCGCGCGACGACGCGCGCGCGCACACTTCGTCATATTTTTTCCAAGAAGGATTCTCGCGACGGCACGCGCGCAAGGGAGTTCGAACGATTTCGACACGCGCGCGCGAAGCCCGTTTGGTAGCATATTTATTTTGAAAAAATTGACAAACCCATGGTTGCCTTTACGGTTTCGCACGAGCGCGCGTGTGAGGTTTTTTTTTTGGTTTGGAAATGCTTGTTGCGAAACCTTGTAGTATTGTATGTTTTTTGGGGAACTCGATTTTGAAACCCTTCCGCAACCCATGTGTTTTTCCGGATTTCGGCATGCGCGCGCGACGACGCGCGCGCGTGCACTTCGTAGAATGTTTGCTGCAAGGGATTGTTGGAAACATATGCCTTTTGATAAACGAGTGCGCGCGCATAGTATTTGTTGCAAAGGATGGCGGGGGGGGGTCCAGACCGGCCCCCCTGGGATAGCGGATAGCGCAGATTCATATTTAAGATGCACGATGTGGCTGAATCCTATGTGTTTAACCCCGGGGGGGGGGAGATCTTTAACCCCAGGGGGACTTGGTAGAACATTTTTTAAAAAACAAAAAAGAAGATCTATACGGTGCCCAAGACGGCCCCTAAACGGCCCCCGAGAGGCACCAAAAAACCCCACAGAGGCCTCCAACAGGCCCCAGCCCCCAAAAAGGCACAAACAGACATACTTCAAGAGACGCCAAAACACCCTGCAAGCCTGCCGGGCCCTATAATACAGATATACACACGTAGAGAACTCGCGCACAATATTATATATACACCGTTCGTGACCAACACATATATGTATATATAATATATATGTATATATATAGACATATATGCACATTTGTATGCATGTATGTATGTAGGTTTGTATGGGTATATATATATATATACATACATGTATACATATATATGTGTCACAGGAGAAACACAGCAATACCTCTTTAGCGCTACAGGGCTATGGGGTTATTGGGTTGTAAGACGATGGGGCTATAGGGATATGGAACTGTAGGGCTACAGGGCTATGGGGCGATTGGGTTGTAGAGCCATAAGGCTATAGGGCTACATGGCTGTAGGGTTATAGGGCCAAGGGAGCTATGGGGCTCTGGGGCCATGGTGCTATAGGGCAATAGTGTTATGAGTCAATAGGGCGATGGGGCTATAGGGCTATGGGACCATATGCCATAGGGCTATAATGGTATAGGGATAGAAAAAGGCTATGGGGCTATAGGGCTACAGGCATATCGAGCTATCGGGCTATGGGGCTGTAGGGCGATGGGGCTATATGGCTGTGGAACTATAGGGCTATAGGGCCATCGGGCTATATGGCTATGGAGTCATGGGCTCTACGGCGATAAAGCCCTAGGGCTATCGGGCTAAAGGGCTATGGGGCCGTCGTCGGCCGTCGTCGATGCCCCTTTGCAACGTTTGGGGGGGGCGTCCTGGGGGGGTTCTTGGGCGCCTCTGGGGGCCTCGCGGGAGTTTCTTGGGAGCCCCTTGGGGGTCCTTTTGAGGCGAGGTGCTCGCAATTCCAACTGCCCCCCCCCCATGTTGGGACCCGTTCGGGGCGCTTTAGGAAGCCATTTTGGCCGTCTCGGGTGGCTCTGGGGTCGTATCGGGGCCCCCATCGGGCCGTCTCGGCGCCCCTTGGGGGGCCCCCGGACCGCGCGGGGGCGATCTTGGGGGCCCCTGGAGTCGATGAGAACGGTGCGAAGACAAAAAAAAAAATAATCTGGTAAAAATGCTGGTTTACAAAAGGAGCGGGGCCATTGTCGCCCCTCGTTTTTTTGTTGTGTTAGTTAAGGGGGGGGGGAACTTGGTTTTTCTGTTCAGGCCCAAAACTCCGACGAAGGTCTGATTCATGTCTGCGCTGGAACTCTGATTCAAGCCTGACCCTCAGCACCAGCTCTGATTTAGGTCTGACTGGAACTCTGACTCAACTCTGGCTCTAAGACCCAAGTGTGATCTAGGTCTGACTGGAACTCTGACTGAAGTCTGGCCCTAGGATTAGGTCTCACTGGGAACTCTAATTTAAGTGTGACTATGGTTTGGTTCGGGCCTGCCGAAAGCAATGTCGCGGCGTCGGTCGGCCTGCCTGCAGAACGCCGCCATGCGCGCATGCGTCTTCAAGAACACCAAAAGGATTGCGCAAGCCAAGCGCCGTCATGGCTGCAGGCCCAGCCGCCAGCTGCCAAACGCAGCGAGCATGGCCCGCCTGCGCGCGCCGCCCTACGGCCACGCTAAAACTCAGGCCTGCTCGGGGGGCGCGGCGGGGCAGCGCTCCGCGCCTGCGCGGCCCTGCCCGAAACTGCTCAACTGCAGCTGGGGCGAAGAAAAGCTCACCCGAGGCGCGCTCCCGAGGGCTGCCGGCTGCCGCGCTGCGAAAGGGCGCGCGGCGCGGCAACCGTCCCAATTTCCGCCGCCGGCCCGGGACAGGTCGGGGGCGGGCATCGCGGAGGAGAAGCGCCGCATTTTTCGGGGGGCTCGGGAGCGCGGGGGTGCTGCCCTGGGAGGTTTCTGAGAGGCTTCGGGAAATGGGCAAGGCCCGGGAAGGACTCGGAAGGCTTTCTAGGGCGGAGGCGGCCTGGGCAGGCGCTCCGGGAGGTCGGGGGGGACGGTTGAGCTGGGGGGATTATACTCAGAGGTTGGGAGGAATGTCGGAAGCCGAACAGGGCTTTGAAGGAGCACGAGGGGGTTCGGCTAGGGAGCATCTCGGAAGTCGCTGGAGGGCACCGGGGCATTGGGGCCGCGTCCGAACGCTCGGCAACAAAGGGTTCCGCAGGATGCGGAGGGCCTTAGAGGGGCGCGAAGGCGTCGGATCGAGAGCTCCTTCAGGCGCATTCGGGGGCCGGCTTCCCAAGCAGCACGGGCGGGGGGGGGGGATGTGTCAAAATCGGCTCGCGCAGCAAGCGGGCTGGTTTTGCCCGGCATTTTTGTTGGCACCTTCCCTCGCTCAGACACGCCCCCCCCCGCCCCCCTCCGACTTTGCGTCGCCGGCGGGGGGCCCGGGCATGAACGGGCCAGGGGTGGTTCTGGCTTCGCGGTGCAAAACGGCTGGAGACCACCCGAAAAAAGAGCGCCGCCGCATTGCCCCGCGCAGGCTCGGAGACGCGGGGAGGGGCGGGGATGTTATTCATCGGCGGTGGAGGCGGCGCGAGGCCCCAGGAGCTTTTCAGAGCTCCGACGGGGTGCGAAGGGGCCGGGCAGGATTTCAACGGGGTAGGAGCTGCGGCTCGGGGGACGCCCCTATGGCGGTGCG